CATTGTCTATATATAACATGTTATATATAGTCAATGGCGGTGTGTGTGCTGTAGCTGGTGCGGACTTGTTCTTGCTGCTAGTGGTTTATAGTACCAAATTAAAAAATCAAAGCAATTCTCTAAACAGCCATATGGTGCGTAACGTTAGTCGTTACGTCGTTAGTCGTTAGCCTACTATGTATGGGTGCAAATCCACTTTAGGTACCTTAGCCTTAGGTATCACGAAGTGATGCACAGATCATCATTCAACTGATGCACAGACTTTCCGTATATCAAGGAATGATGCAAAAACCCTAACCCTAACCCTAACCCTAACACACTTCGTGATACCTAAGGTTATACTTTATTACTTAGGTTTGGGTTAGGGTTTTTGCATCATTTCTTGATATACGGAAAGTCTGTGCATCAGTTGATGATACACAGAAATGTGTGCATCACTTCGTGATACCTAAGGTGCCTAAAGTGGATTTGCGCCCTATGTATGTATAATGTAACGTAAACGCGTATGTATACGATAGGCCGTAGTCGGCGCAGTGACATCAATCAAAGCCATCATGGCCAAACTGTACCATCTTCAAAGGATCCCTTTACTTTAACTTTAGCTTCTTTGTTTCTGTCATCCCATATTTTAATTCTTTTTCTTCCTCTCTGGTTAATCGACTTTTTTGACTGCAATCCACAGTGTTATACTTATAGTCTGTCTACTTGTCTCTCTCCATCTTCGCCTTCATCTTCGGTATAGTCCCTAGACTCTGAAGACAAATCTTTATTAGGTTATACACATACGTGTTGTAGTTGTATATTTTTATTACTAACTAGGATGCTGCAGGAGTGCGCAAAGTGGATCGTCTTTGTGATTGTCAGTTCAATTAAAATTTGTTTCTTTCAGGTTGGTATCATCTACGTCTTTAATCTCATTGTTGGAACAGGGGCGCTGACAATGCCGAAAGCTTTCGGTGAAGCAGGATGGCTACTGGGTCTTATATCAGTGTTTCTTCTCTGCATTATGAGGTTTGTTATTTATAGGTGTAAATTTGTTCCCTGTGGATCAGAAGCAGCCTGTTCATTAGATACAATAATGTGATTCAGCAGAGTACGAGCTATATAATCTAACATGTAGCGTAATGTGACGCTACTCTGTGCTGGGTTATGTTATTGAGTCTAGCTGTCTAAGTCACCATGCATGTGAAAGCTAAGACCATTAACACTCGGGTTATACAAAGTTAACAAAAAATTCCAGGAATGTGCATCAAACAGGCACTAACTAAAATTACATCACTCACTGAGTGGTGTAAATATGAAGACCTAATAAATATTTTGGTTTATGAGCTACCTTTTAACATATACTGTACTGTGTTGATAGATTGAAAATGTAGCACGTTGTACATGGTATGTGTTAATAGATGGATGTACAGGCATGATTGGTTACAAAAGTCGATTGGCTTGTAGATATTGCAGGTAAATGTGTGTTATTTGGTTTACGTTATGCAGCCTGATCACAGTTACATTCGTCGTTGAAGTGATGGCTTCAGCAAACGCTGTGCTGAGCTGGAAGAAGCTGCAGAGTTTAAAGAAGGTATTGTACAATTATATATACTAGTTACAGGAAAATTTGAAAGAAAAAGATCTGCTATGCGCTCGTATAGAATGCGAGTCCAGGAGCAGTGAACATTTCTGTTGATGATCTCAGAGTATTACTAGGAGTTGTAGCTAAGGCTTGAAATGAAAATAGAATTGATAGGAATTTAGTGCAAATGTTTGTAAGTATAGTAGTGTTATAATGTTCTTATAGGCCGGTGATATTTCGGACAAAGACATAGCCAGACAGTTGGACCCAGATTTCCATGAAGAAACGGAACAGAGTCCACTGCTACACCAAAGTACATGTATGTCATTATTGAGTATTTAGGCATTGTGCCTGTATGTATAACTTTTGTTACTTTTAGATGAAATGTTTTCTGATTTACCTGTGAAAATATTGCCTATTCTCTTAGTTTATATCTATCAGTATATATAATTTCATTTTAGGTAGGAGTGCCAAGTTTAACGCTTCTGTTAAACCATGTAACTACTACGAGATATCTGAACGAATTGAGATGGTATGTCAGAAATCACATGCAATGAGAGTTGTAGTGATTATAATTTTTAGTTCAAAATGTCTAAGGTAATGATAACATTATGTCACATGTACAGTATGCATGAAAATTGCCCATTGACAAGGTGGGTTTAGACGTTCTTTGTATTGCTATGTTTAGACCCTGTAGCTTTAGCGCTTGGACGAATTTGAGCCAATTCCATAGTATTCTTAACATTTATATTTATCACTTTTATATATTATATACTATATATTATTCACTATTTATATTTCAGGGCCAGATGGCTTCAACATTTTTCAGTAGATGTAAGTATAGTCTAATGCATCTCAAATATCAATAATATTAGCATGTCTGTATTCAGAAAAGGTCTGGTGCTAACTATTCTTAGTGCCATAGAGAAACTGGTGATAGCCATTGTCATTGCTGTTTATAACCACAGAGTCAATATCATTACAAAATTATGGTCACACAAATAATTATTCTTGTCAAATTCATAGCTGTGCTTTAATTTCCTACCGCCAGGTGGAGTAAATCTGTTCTACATCTGCATAGCAGTGTATTTGTATGGGGATCTGGCAATATATGCAGCAGCAGTACCGAAGAGCCTGAGGGATGTGGCATGGTGAGCAGAGTAGGCATATTTCTGTTACTAACATGGAATATGTTGAATTAAAATCGAAAAACGTGATGACAAGGAATGGTGTTATCACATGTCATGTGTTTGTCTGCAGTTATAAGGTGAATGTGACTAACAACTCTGAGGGCAATGACGAGACTGATCTCTGTTGGCCTGGAACAGAAAGCAAGATCACTAGATTTTCTGCCTACAGAATTTTCTTAGTAAGTTATAATAGCGGCATAAGGCTGGCAAGTTATCACAATCGTAAATGATATCTGCAGTTGTACGTATGCATTGTGTAAGAATGCTTACAATTTGCTGTTTTTATTGTTGCAGTTGGGATTCACATTATTTCTCGGTCCATTTACTTTCTTCAACGCGCAGAAGACAAAGTACCTGCAGTTGTTCACGTCAGTCATGCGATGGGTTGGTGCGTATTGAAGGTGCTCTCGTCGCAATATGCTTCATAAATATATTATTTCGTATTCGCACACAAGATGTGAGTGTGACAGCATTCAGTACGGTTTACACTAATACCGAGTTAGTCTAGTATTTCGAGTTAGGCTCTATGGGGGCACAGCACCCCGTTCTGCTACAGCTAGCTGTGACAGCTTGCTGTGAGCTGTTGTAGGCTGACGTTAATAACGGTCGTCTTCTTGCAGCGTTCCTGATCATGATCATCGTGGCAGCGATACGGCTGGCGCAGGGGGAGGGGCACGGCTCCCCGCCGGTCGCGCAGTTCGCCGGCGTGCCGACACTGTTCGGCGTCTGCGTCTACTCGTTCATGTGTCATCACTCGCTGCCCTCGCTTGTCACGCCGATGCGTGACAAGTCGCACCTCTTCTCCCTCCTCGCGGCGATCTACGTGACCATCTTCACCTTCTACATGCTGCTGTCCTTCACCGCCGTCTTCACCTTCTCCAAGCTGGAGGACCTCTACACGCTCAACTTCGAGCCCACGGGCGGCGCCGACGCTGTTGTCAACGTCGTGTTCATCCAGTACTTCCTCGCGTTGTTCCCCGTGTTCACGCTGAGCACGAACTTCCCGATCATCGCGATCACGCTGCGCAACAACCTCAGCGCCCTCTTCCTGCGAGATTCCCGCAGCTATCACTGCTGCGTCACCCGCCTCCTCTTCCCGCTGCTGACAATAGCGCCACCTATTGTCGTGTCGTTCTTCACGAACAACCTCGAGTTCTTGGTCGGCATCACGGGTTCATATGCGGGCGCGGGGATCCAATACGTTTTGCCAGCATTCCTCGTGTACTACGCACGGCTTGACACGCGCATGATCCTGGGGTCGGGGGTCAAGAATGCTTACCGGTCACCGTTCAGTCACACAGCCTGGGTGGTCATTGTACTGCTGTGGGCAGCCGCAGCAGTTGTGTTTGTGACGGTTAATCACATCCTTACAAAGTTGTAGCGCGTTGTTACGGGAAGTATTTCCCTATCCGTATGGGTGAGATTCATCCACTCCCCCTTGCATATTGCTGCTGGGTCGTTCAAGCCAGATCGGTTTGAACGTGTTTTAAATTAATGCACGTCAAATTTTCGACTGCGGCATGTCATTGCGAAGTATTGTCTTTTAATATTACGTCCTACTGACCTATCGCAACAAAGGCTAAGGCTGCCTCCAAGTCACATGAGGCGGATTGGTTAATTATTATCACACCTGTGATCATCGCGCCAATGTGATATTACATGTACATAAATTAGGTTATCTCAAGAGAACAATGCAGTTGTGTGAGTTAATAACCGTATACGCGTGTGATGGCAAATATCTTTACCTGTATTTTTACATGTATATATACATATGGATATGTGTGTATAGGAATTTTTACAATTGAGATTCTACTGGAAATATCTTCATTTACAGTTTACAGACACTAAGGAACTGTCATATATAAGGAAGAAATACACATTCGCTATTACACTCATAGTCGCATACAGCTATGGTAAGAGTATGCTGCAGTAGGAGTTGTAAGCCAGTCCTACTTTTAAAATTCAAGATATATTTTAGGTATGTTCCATTATTGTTTATGGAAATATTTTGAGGGGAAATCGTGATATTTTACAATTGACCACAATATAAATGTGAAAACGGCAAGTCAGTCTTTTAATTTGATGCTTCTGTCAAACATTCACTAATTTCATTACACAGTGACATACATGAAGTTAACCCTCTTTATTATAAGAGAAAACTGCTATCATTATTTGATTGGATAATGCCCGGCACACAAAAATCAAAACGTTTTAAATGGCCTGCATCTACTGTCGTCGAAGAAATACCTAATAAATAATAGCTTACAAAATTAGTTCAGGAAATACGGTAGAAATGGCTATTGATGTAATAAAACACCCCTTTGTCTCATATATAACTGTAGAATATGACCTCTATTATGACTTGCCACACAAACATGCACGCCTGCATACACATACGCCACACACAGCCACGCACACATACAAAACACACGCAGTACTAGGCACCGGCTGCAATGCCCATAGTTTGGTTCACAGTGAACGACGTTTATGTGGTTTTTCCAAATGTTACTGGATGCCAGACACATGATTTACACACATAAGAATACTGTAGTACAATTTTTTGCAGCTGGTTACAAAGAAACAAATTATGCAGTTGCGCATCAGTGACACAGGCATACACACACGCACACACGCACACACGCACACACGCACACACGCACACGCACACACACACATGCACACATGCACACACACACATGCTCACACACGAACGCACGCACACACACACTGATGACTTGCAAACACAACTTCAGTTAATTAACACATAACATCAACTCCGCTATCTCATACAACACAATATTTACATATGCAGTTACACCATTTGTATTCTAACGTTATGGTAGTGGATATCTTTGCATTGCTTGCAATTTCCTAACAATATACATTACGTTGACGTTTTGCACTTAATAGTCGATTAGTAAAACCTTTTGTAACGACTGTATAAACCAGAGCAACGTGAACGATTCTTGGTTGATGATGCAGCCGTTATAGATGCTACTAAGAGCGTATAAAGAAGGAGAGCATACAACGGTGAAATGCTGAAACCATGCTGCAGTATTAGTCAAATTAATAAACTTTGCCCGTTTTATTTTGACGATTCTTTGTGTTATTATTGATCAGCTGTCCTACCATGCTAATATAAAACAAACCGCTTGTCCCTACGATGCCTCTACGCTGAGATAATGAGCGGTGAAAATCTGGTATTTTCGCCGAAAACCGACTCGAGATCAGTGTTTACTCCAACTGTCTCTCGTTCTGGTGATAGCTTCGGGAAACCTTGCGTGTTTACGTCATTCATTGACAATAAAATTTCTTTTCCTTCTACTATCTTTGCTCGCATTTCCAGTCATTGACGCAGCCATTACTCCACAAAAACGCCTTGTTATTTATCGCCATGGTAATGACCCGCCCCTTACGCTGGATGTAGTAATGCTGTAGTAATAACGTATCGAGTCAGCGCTACACAGCGGCGACCGGAAGCAACATACAGTCCACAAAACGAGAGACAGTTGCAGTAAACACTGATCTCGAGTCGGGTTTCGGTGGAAATACCAGATTTCCACCGCTCATTATCTCAGCGTAGAGGCATCGTAGGGACAGGCGGTTTGTTTTATATTAACAAGGTAGGACAGCTGATCAATAATACTGCAAAGAATCGTCAAAATAAAACGGGGAAAGTTGATTAATTCGACTAATACTGCAACATGGTTTCAGCATTTCACCATTGTACGCTCTCCTTCTTAATACGCTCTTGATGCTACCATAACCACTCCATGATGACAGCATGAACACAGAAACGATCATAGCAACATTAGCTACCCATGACAAGGTATATAAAGACCCAACATGCTTGCTGTCGTTTCACTGCCGGCACACATGCACCCAACAACTTACTGGAATATACGCTACGATGTACAGCAAGATTACAGGTAAATCGCAGCAGATGTATTTTCATACACACCTGCTCGTTCACCCCTACACATTTACAACCAGCATTACAGTACGTCCTACACACACTACACACAGAAGAATGGCGTTGAAATCTGAGCATCGGTGGACATGAGGCTAGCTGACAGTAGCAGATGACTGCAGCAGCTCTGGTAGGATAGTTGTAACTGATTTATTGTGGTTGTTGCCACGCAGTCTCGCTTATAACCGGGAGGCGACAAATTCCTTCCTGCAGTTATAATCTCTAGAGAGTTCTGTGGCATGCTCCACGCTCAGCTTCCACTAGCAGTGGAGCCACCTTGTGGTGGCTTCATAGCAGTTACTGGCAGCTCTCCTTTATGAAGAACTCAATACAGATTTCACAGAGAATCACCCTTTGTGGCGCCACTCGGCTATATCTGGAAGCGGTGCCCCCTAGTGGTGCATTGCTACCCGGGTGGGTCTCGATCGGAGGGCTGCTACCACGAGCTCCTGTGCAAAGGGTTGAACAATCACTCTCGTCTTGGCAGCTGTTGCAGTTCCTTATGGCTTGTGCCTGGAGAAGAGATGTCTTTTCTTTGTTTAACCCAAGCTCTAGATGTTATTTGCTGCTGAAGCCGGGGCGAGTGAACAGTGGTGAGGTGGATCCGGCCTGGCTAGACGATGGGGTGCTAGAACCTATGAACATAATACGTAACACAATCACACTCACGTTTGCTGATATAGCAATGCGATAAAGACACAAAGGCTTGAAATCATCCTGCAAGGAGAAACCTCCAATCGAGAAGGAAGAAGAATTAGACCAGGACAACAACAAATATAAAGCCCTGCAATTAACAAAAGCGTCTGTGTAGCAGCACGTTACACCACACGAGTCACAACAACGTAATGTAATTGTATGGGAAGCTAGAGCATGCTTGCATACATACATGCGTACGGCTGATGTACTCAGGTATATATACGTCTTTGGCCGCATGTTACGTGACATCACGTTACATCTGCACAGAGAAGCATCGTTTCAAACTGTACATGGATGGCTGGACACATTGAAGAGTTGATCCTTTACCACGACTAATGTATTACCCTGAGAAGATTGTGCCGATTTGAACACAGAGGGTGCTGCTTGTGAGTATGTTGTCTGCGACGTTGACGGGATATTGAGGCTAGGGTAGGAAGTACCGGTGCTGCCATCTCTTGCCGCACCCAGATACAATGCATTGTTCAATGACACCTGTAAGAACATCGGTATAGTTTATCATAGGAAGAATAATTCGATGTGCGGCTAGAGAACCTTAACGGTTAACCTTATCGTGAAATAAAGCAACAGAGAATTAGATTGACTACTCCGCTGTGATCGAGGACGAACAGAGTTGAGATGACAGCACATTGGGCTGCTGCCTAGGAATCGTCAGGTGTTGTTATAGGTGCTGTTGCACTACGAGAGAGTGTGGTTTGCCGCGTGTGGTACCTGTGACAGCAGCTGAGCTTGCGTGAGCTGCGCAGCACTGAACGCATCCATTGCAGAGTAAGTAGTGAAATCTGGCATCATGACCGGTGGGAACGGGCGGAACAGACTCGACTGTGCTCGGCTAGCAGAGTCGTGCATGCTGCTGTAGGCAGAAACAAATGATCACAGTATGTTACATGGAACAAAATTTCAATCAAAGAAATGCAAATGTATTGCAGTAATTGAAAAAAATGCAATACAGACTGTGGCGCACCACTGAGCACCTCCATGTTGACATGCCCAAACAGAATATCACATTAGAAATTACCCATAAACATAGCATAGCAAACAGGAAAATTTCCCTCGCTCAAATGCGACGACTACGTATAGTGAGAATTGCATCCTGCATGCGCACGTTGGCGAAGCATACCTGTAAATGCTCTGTGAGATGTAGGCTGACGGGGAGCTGTGTGGTGTAGAGATGTGGTGCGACACAGGGCTACTGCCTGCTGCGGAAGACTTCTTCCGCTCCGACGAACGCGCCGTGGATGGTGACTCCCTCTCTGACTTTGTGCTGTGCGGGGACGTCTTGTGAGGGGAGGAGCTTAAAGGGAAGCTTCCGTGCGGAGATTTCTGCTGGTCCGCGCGCGCAGGAGACTTGTGTCGCTCCCTCTCCAGCTTCCCACTCTGCGTCACGTTCTGCTCTCCTCTGCTGCTGCTGCCAGAGGCATGCTGGGATAACCGCCCCTCTCCCCGCACTCCGGCTGCGTGTGCCCCCGGCCGCTCGCCGGCACGGGATGCCTGCAGTGATGCTGCTGCCCCTGTGTGGCTGCTGCTGGCATGCTGGGCTGATCTCCCCTCCACACGGCTCACTCCACCATGCTGCGTAGACCTTCCCTCGCCACGAACGCTTACCGGCTGTGCTGACCTTCCCTCGACCTTGGACACCTGGGAGGACCTTCCCTCCCCCCTGGACGCTTGCTGCGACTTCCCGTCGACCTTTGACCCCGGCATTGACCGGACCTCCCCGCGGGACGCCTGCTGCAGCCTGTGCTCAGCCAGAGCTTGCAGCAGCAGCCTCTGCTCCTCCTCCGCATCGACGACAGTGGGAGGCTGAGGAGACGGTTGCCGTGCGGGATGGTTAGGGGAGGGTGCGGACGCTGCAGACTGCAGCAGAGATGACTTCTCACCACTCAGTGATCGATGCGCCGACTGCCACGGCTGCGACGATGCCGCCGCCTTGCTACCGCCTCTCAGCAGCGAACTCATCGCTTGGGTCGCAAGTTGGCGTGGGGGACTAACGGTGCTGCTGCTTGCTGGCCCCTGTGGGCTGACAATGCTTCCACCTGGTGGCCGCTGTGGAATAAGAGTGCTGCCGCCTGGTGGCCGCTGTGGACTGAGGGAGCTGCCACCTGGTGGCCGCTGTGGGCTGACGGTGTTGCCACTTGATGGCCGCTGCGGACTGACAGTGCTGCCGCCTGGTGGCCTTTGCGGGCTGACATGGATGCTTCGACCCGTATACACGTCCTCGACCTCACCGGGCTCGCGCTCCGTCGCCGCGCTGCCATGCTGCTGTAGACTCGCCAGCAGCGACTGCGTACGCGAGAACAGGTTGAGAGTGTCGGTGAGGTGAGCTTCGTCGCTCGTTGACACGTCCTTGGCCTGCTTGCTGCTGCTGCTGCTGACTGTGGTGGCGGAGGCCTGCCTCCAGGAGACAAGCTCAGGCACCAAGGGGACCATACCCGTGCCGGTCGATTGGTTATTCGCGTCCACCTCGCCCGCTGTTTTCCTCCAAGACGCAACACTCACTGACGTCGCCTCTGCCTTCGGCTGCGCCTCGCCGACAACAGAGTCGGTCTGTTGCCGTGACGACGACGGCGGCGGGCTGGCTTTCTTGGCGGCCGGTTCGCTTGCGTCAGCGTTGCGCGGCGGTGACATCCACAAAGGTTTGTCCGGCTTACTTCCCAGCGCCTGCTCGGTGACCGACGCGACGAGATCCCCAACCGACACCAGCCTAGTCGCGGCAGCAACCGTCGTCGCCGCCGCCGCCGCTGACGTGGCGACGCCAGGCTGGGAGGAAGTTGTCGCTGCGGCGACGCTCGCGGACGGATGCTGCGGCGAGGGCAGACGCTCGAACAGCCCCGACGACGCGCTGAGGATGTCCGACACAAACGCGTCGTCGGGCAGAGAGGTGAGGGCGTACGGCGTTATCATCAGGTCAAGGTCGTCGCCAGAGGGCGCACCCATCTCCTGCTCTTCGTCCGCGCATCCGGCGTTGTCGTCGCGCTGCTTCGCCGGCTTGTGAGATTCTGGCCGCTTGTGGGACTTCGTGGCCGCACCGTCGCCTGTAGAGGGCGCTCCAACATGCGCTGGCGGCGCCGCCGTGCTGGGGCTATCCGTTGCAGTTTGCACTCTGGCGGTAATGGCTGTACTGTGGGTAGTGGTCGTCAGCGGTTCGGTGAATGCTGGCTGGGTAGCGGTGAGTGGTGGGGTGTCGATGGGGGGAGAGGAAGCAGCCAACGGACTCACCACCTTTCTCGAAAGCGTCGCCTGCTTTGGGCTATCAACCAATTATAATTATTAGTCACAATATTGTTGCTATGGTCACTACACAAGCTAAACCATTATTTAAATTTGCAGAATGTGAAACACTAAATAAAAGTATATAAAATAAATAATAAATAATAATACTATTATTAAATAGGGATATCAAAATTAAAAGTAATACTGAAATTGTTACATATAGGTAAATTAACATTTGATAACATGTTACATAATCCCAAATTTATAACAGGATAAAATGCAATATCTAAGAAACTAATAATAGCACAATAAGATCAGAGGACTGATGACTGATGAAGGTTCTGACCACTTCATATACTTACAAGCTCATAGTGACATCAGAATGTGCACCACGCGACTCTCTGAACAAAATCCTGGAAAAATATTATGAAAAAAATGTATACAGGATAACAGCACATTGTCACGCTCACTTGCTTTACATGCACACATCGGTCATGACAATGTAAGTGTATAATCATGTGTGCGAGTCAGAAATCAGAAGACTAAGGCGAGACAGCCAATGAGGTGGGTGTGGATGCGGTGAGCAGCTACCTGACATTCATCCAGCGAACAGGCCACATCGGTTTCAGCGAGGTTTCCAAGAACTGTTTCACGTAATCCTCAGATGTGTAAGAGCGAATCTTCGCCGTGTCGTAAATGCGCAATCGCAGCACCACCACTTCGTTCAGCAGCGACCTGTGTCAACGATGACGCAATCAACAGACGTGTTGCACCCTACCATTAGCAATGCTCATTGTATTTAACGGCACCTTTTATAATTAACAACACCCGTTATCATGAACGTCGTCCATTACCATTAAAAACACCTGTTATCGTATATCGTGTACACCTATCTTATCCAAACTCGTCTTGTTATATTCGACACATGTGTTGAGACACTTGTGAAACTTGTTTAAACAATTTTTAATTACATTCAAATCTACTCTGCCTAAAACATCCACAGTTTGAGAGAGACAGAGAGAGAAAAAATCGCTGAGAGCCATATAAGGTATACCTGATTCTGTCTGTCCATTTAAAGACACGGCGAGGCATGCGCTTTGCTTTCTCCTCACTCTTCATGCTGTTGTCATCATCTGCGGATTCTGTAATATTCTCACCGTCCCTGCAAAGCCGCAAACCACAAGTTAATAAAAGCATGACATCCCAGCACAGCCGCGACCCAAAAACTAATCATGAACATAAATGGTAAGGAAAATCTGATATAATGAAGTGAGAGTACTGAAGTATGAACATGTAAGTACAGGGGTCGAAATTAGATTTTTATTATGGTATCCATTCGGGATACCAGGTATTGAAATCTGGTATCCCCCCCAACGATCTGGTATCCCATTTTTTGGATAATAATTTCAACAATGTTGGTATCCAAAATCTTGAAATATGCAATAATAGCATTTGAAAATTATTAATATGTAATGTAAATATTATATAAAAACATGAAAACAGATTCACAGATATGCACAGACAAGTACACTGCATACGTATTGTCTAGACGCATTGTCTGGTTCGCTTTATACAAATGTATACACATCACATTTATGATCAACAACGGCCACGTTTACGCTTGCGCTTGCAAATATGCTATGCCTGCTGTATAACGCTAGTGTGGCATAGTAAGGCACGAAGGGTCGTTGTCGTATCAGGTACTACATATATGTACCCGAGGTAGTTTTAGGTTGTTTAGTATTATGTTTACATTTTTATATGAGGTACGTTTAGGGTTAGGGTTAGGGTTAGGGTACACTTCTGTAGTACAAGTCTGGTACACTTTGTGTATACATATATGTACCTCGGGTACATATATGTAGTACCTGATACGACAACGACCCCTTCAGCATAGTAAGGGTGCCTGAGCCCGCTCAGATCGCGTGCACTCGCTCTACGCGCACTCGCTCAGATGCGCTGCCATATAAAGTTGATAACTCAACAAGCACTATCCCGATTTTGACGATTTTTCACGACAGCATTGAAATCTTGTATCCAACACAAGAATCTACTATCCCGCAGATATCGGGATACCGCTAATTTCGACCCATGAAGTAGCGAACGGTCTGGCCACACATACATGGTTCTTGTTGTGTATCTTTCATGGTAATAAAACAATATTTAAAAAAGTGTTATGGTATTTAAGATTTGCCTACTTTGCAGTGGTTCCTACAGCTTCACATAGCTTCTTGTATTCTGCTACTTGTGCAGTCATGGCTGCTGCTATTGCTGCAATGCACAACCCGGCCATGTTATCAACTGATCGACGATAACTTGTATAGCTTGGATACTAGTAGCAAATGCGCATAACATTTAATCACGATAACGATAATGATATTTAATCACAATAACTGCTAATATTTCTGCCTGCCTTTAAGAAATTCCCAACCTTAATATTAAAATTTACCACAAGTGTAAATGGCCACCTCGACCAAAACCTCTCTTCTACACGCATTCTACCACTATCCGTGCCCCCCCCCCAACTAGCCCTGCGACCACTTGTCAACAATCCAGGCTTTACCTTGCTTTAGCTTTAGTATGGGAGCCTTCATAGCATCCTCCAACTCATCCAGCAACAGCTTCTTTGCTCGTTTCAATAGGGTTTCCTTGCCACAGGGAAGATGTGCGGCTAGGTGAGTGTAGATTAGGGAACGCTTACCGACTAGCTGCTGCTTACTCAGCCTCTCTATCCTGCAGAGGAGAAGGCGACCAGGTGTCAGTGTTGTTAAAAATAATTACCATAAAGACTACCACTCTGTAACAGCAGCAGCAGCAACAGCAACACCAGTGCTATCAGTATCACCGCTGCTATAATGAAGAGCATCAGATATGTTCCATCATCTTCAGTATCATCATCATAATCATCATCATCATCATAATCAACATCATAATCATCATCATCATTATCATCATCATCATAATCAACATCATAATCATCATCTTTATCACCATCAGCATCACCACCACTACTATTACCATCACTCTTCATCGTCAGCATTACCATAACCAGTAATATAATTTGCTAATACAAAATAAATCTAGATAGATATCAAGGAATATCATCCAGTTATTGAGCTGCTAATTTATGTAATGCAGTTATAGTAATTATTTTTACTTACTCCAACAGCATGTTGTTTACTTCTGGCATGAAAAACTTGCGTTTTCCTTCTTCTGATACCTTCGCAGCCTGCAGAGAATAACACACATCGATAAATTGACAAGTTTACACGAAACTTATGATATGCAACTAGATAAAACACTGAGGACTGGACATTATTTCATATTGCTTCTTCATGTAAACTTGTGTACCAAAACTCGTTTTCTATAGTATAAAACAATAATGGCATGTGAAAAATTGTACGGAGTAAAACAAACAGTTTGTTTGAAATAGCGGACAGCTAGAATCAACATGCACGCCCATCTAGTGCAGTTATGGTTAATCGTTTCAACTTTGAAATGTCGTGACCATCAAACATGTTTACAACTATTATCTTCATCGAGTTCAGCGAAACTGCCAGGAGGAACCATGCATCACTTGATTAATGGGACACATCCCTTTATACAGTGCAGCTATGGCAGTTTGACCTCTGACCCAATGCCAACACACCTGTTTGATCATGTTGATGTAGTCGACCAGTTGTTTAGGAAGTTCGTCCGGTAACTTAGGTGAAGCGCCACCACCTCCATCTGCCGGCTTGTGTGGAGCGCCTCCTACGTTTGGCGAGTGAGAACCGCTGCCGCCGGTGTCACGATCAACGTCGTCCACCATTGAACCGTGCCCTTTGACGAGCGAGAAAGATTATTCATCGTAAAGAACTACGAGACAACATCTGCCATGTCAACTAATGCCTGCACACAGACCTTATCACAACTCCATCGTCAGGATGGTAGCAATAAATCCATGCAGACGGGCGTCATTTCACATGATTGTAATACATATTATGTAGTTAGCTTAGCCAGAGTCAAGAGTAGAATCATACAGCTGATGTGGTAGTTATACGGTAACAAAACATGGTAACCACACTGGTGTAAGCCACATCTGGTAGGAGAGGAACTGAACGGCCAACTTATACCCGTACAGGTAAATTTGTTCATAAATCAATTTTTGCAGTGTATACATTATCCCAGGCTAAATACACGCTAGTCCAGGCTAAGTTAGCCCCCTCAATGTTTGAGTATTTTGTGTCTGTACACTGCGATTTAGTGCACGTCTAACCCAGACCTGATCCAGACTAATTTGATGTAGGATCAAAGTTTGCAGTCTGTACGTGGTACTAGACTCGATATTACTGCCTACTTTCACTTTAAGTGAGGCCATATATAATCTGTTTAGACGTTCAAACAGCTGCCCATTTCGCTGGGTTTCTTTGTAAGACTCAAGACTAATGACTTAAAACTAATGACTGCAACACTACAGGCTCACATACAAAGACTAAAGACTAAATTACTCATACCTATGAATACAAAGATTACATATCTAAATTCAATGAATAATGACTAAAGACCAAGGACTCTTGCATCAGGCACCGCACGCAACCTGAATAATTACCGAGCTGTTCCTGACTATCGCTGTCCTGCGCCACCACCGCTGTCTCCCCACTGACTGTCTGTACGGACGCCATGACAACGCTGTTAATGGCGTCTGCTATCTGATCCTGCTGATGCTGGTTCATCTTGCTCTGCGACGTTGCATTCGCCTGATGGATGGCCTTTTGTTTTAGCAGGTCAGCCACTGTCTTTCGCTTCATCGTGGAACCGATGAAGGCACTAAACGAAATTCGTCAAAACTCTGCATTAGAATGCACATCATACCAAGTTTTCAGTGCCATACGATGATGACGAGAAGTACAGCTGCTCACAGGCTAGTGAATCTACGAGATAGATTCAATGACAACGACAAGTATATTCATTATTGAGACAAATTTACTCTGAGAATCATCGATGCTAGCAATTTGTAAATACACCTTTTAGATTTTTTGGTAGATTTGTATACATTGTCTCCGTCTTTCCTCCGCACACTATCAATTCCATTGGTCATCTTCTTCTAAAGCCGAATAAAAACAAAGAAATACTATCTCAAAAAAAAAGTTAACACTCAAAATTAGCAACGCCGCTGTTGTTGATCTCCCATATAACAATGATAGCCGTAAGAGACACATCACACAAACATTATATACCGGTACCTTGAACTTTCTCTTTGGCATGGTGCCAGAGTCAGTGGACGGAGGTTCGTCATCATCCGAGCTGCGTAACACTCGACTCTGCAGGTCCAGAGAATAATGAGACATTATTACACTATCAGGATAACCGTAAGTACCCTCACATTCACAAATAATCACCGTATCAAATGAGCCTATCTGCTAGCATGGCTGACAGGCAACTCTATGCAAACATGTTTGCGATTAGAAGTTCTAAAAGGAAATCCTGGGTAACACAGTGCATCAAAGTCTACAATTTGACCTGCCAACAGATCTAAGAAGCCAGAAGGATGAATATCCAAGGCAGAGTTAGGAAGAATATTATTCTAGGGGACATGAATATTTCGTTTAGACGAATGAGTCAACTTCCTATAAAGCCAAACACCGTCATTAAAACAAGCCGTAAATTGACATTGATCAAACGTTAACATTAAAACAGCTAGAAGTGGTAACGTAGACAGAGGCAGCATCATTGACTCTCCAGCAAACACCATTCATCCATGCAACAGAGAGCACACAAACAGGTGGATACTGCAAAACCGAATTCGACTCCTCTGAACTACTAATGGCGACACACGATGCTGTTACCCTGTCAGTTACAGAAGAAATTGCTACCTTCACCATCTTCCTCTTCTTCATCAGTTTGAAGTCAGATGTATCATTGTCCGAGTCAGATATGTCCCGGAATTCCAGCTCGCCAGAGTTGATGTAGAAGCCTCCGTACTGAGTTGTCATCGTAGATGGCACGAGCTCATCGTACTGTAACCATGGCGACCGCAAAGTTAACACCTTGAAAAAACGCTAATGACCGGGCGTTTGGCACGGGGGCAATGCGTAGTGCAATGATTACACCACTGCTTCCCCATAACTTAGGCTATCTACAAGGAGTGTGATGTTCTTTCCCCACTACGCCATCTCTGTACGTGTGACGGGGCGTGGCGTTCATATATATACTCACTGCTTCGTCATTGTCGATAAATGGATCAGTGTCGTCGTATCCCATCCCAAGGTCAAGGTCATCTTCCCAGCGTCCATGTTTTCTCGTTTTCCCACGCTTCCCTGAAGCCGTGTGCTGGCCCTGCAACGGATGCAAAAACACCCACATCATGACCTGGAAACAACCTCACACGGACTGGGTCACGACCTCATGTCAACCGGGTCATGACCTCACCAAGGCAGGGGTTTCCACAGTAACATCACCGGCATACATGCTGACAGTAAGCAACAGAACCCAGTACACCTGTAATCAAGAGTGAAACATCTACAATCATGTAGAGTATTCACCCCTGTTGTAAACACACATCAGCAAGACTGCCGCAAATGACGACACGGTGAGAGGACATCTACACAAAGTTTTTCTACAACCAGTTTGTCAATACATACCGTTAGTATAAGGCATGAATAATGAAGAATTCAAATGAACACTGAAATATTGATGACCTTCACTATTCTAATGATGACCTTCACTATTCTAATGATGAAAAATTACAAGCTTGCCGTGTGTATGGATCTATGCACACATAAGCCATAACATGGCATGTTACATCATCACTGAATAAGACTGTTCGTGTAATCATCTCAATTATAAATGATCAACAGTTTCCAAGTAAGGGTTTCATTTATTTATTGTTAATATCTAAAGCAGAATGATTTATAAATGATAAATGAAAGTTAATTTAACCGAATAACATATGTGGAAACTTAGTGCAGAATTACGGTTGCATCATTGATACTAACACATGCTCATCAGTCATTTTTTCTCCCCGCCAGTAACTCAATTCAAAATTGAAACTGGTTCCTGATTAGAACTAAATAGAGAGAGAGCGCTACTCACATATTTCTTCTCAAACATGCGCGCGGTAGCGGCGAGCTTGTCCTCTGCTGCTGCATCCTGTGCCGCAAACGCCTCCTCCTCACCATTCTCCACTGGCCCCTGAAACACGAGGTGGTGAGAAATCAGTCAAAACAGGAGCGAGCATTGCATCAAATGCTTGTAAAATAGTGATCAACTGCCAGGATAATAGGCATGAATGGAATGCTATTTACATGCTTAGCCTATAGGCTAGAAGTATATATATTAAAATGACATTCAAGGTACCGTTTATAAGATGCATAAAATCATAATAATTATGTAAAATTCGTAGCGCGATTATAATAATTTCTTTGTTAAATTAGGCCTTTTACGTAGATGACATGTGACTAATATTAATAACCGATATATCAGGAGTAGATAATAGGGAATTCCCTATTATCTTCTCCTGATATATATATATATGCAGGGGGCATGAATAAGTATATGACTGAACTCAACTACACTATAGTAGCCCTATAATTTTAAAATGACTTGTGGCTATAATGTACAATACATGTGTCACTGTAAATGAACTCGTTTCACTTGCTAGAATAATTATACACACATGATTCTGATTGCATGAACATGAAACTATAAATATACGCTGTGGCTATATGCCCGGCAGCTGGGCACGGTCTTCGTTTTCCTAAATGCCCGGCAGTTCCTAACCCTTGTTTACTTGAGATAACGCTGAAAATTAAAAACTGCCGGGCATTTAGGAAATCGAAGACCGTGCCCGGCAGCCGTCAGATATATGTCGGCTGCCGGGCATATAGCCACTCTGAAAAATATATAATATTGTGGCTTCTAAGTTCTATACTGTACATGAAAATACACTAAAAATGCAGCTTATACATAAAAACAAAAAATCCATGTAAAGTAAATTATATTGCTAACGTATAAAATTGTACATTTTACAACACATCATGACTGATTAGTAATTTAAATTATGTCTGAGTAATCAACATGAAACTTGTTGTGCTACGTTTGTTTATATCTCATCATACTCTGATATAACTGAATCCGTAGTGATTAGATATTGTAACAACTAACAATCAACCCTACAAGAGATATACAAAGTTTTAGAAATTGCCCCTCACAAAAACCTACCACCCCTACCCGCATAAAATGGTACATTCCAACCCACCCACTAATCACCACCACTGCACCCGAGTTAATGCGTGGGGGTGGGTGCATCTTACACACCTACGAACAGCTGGTGCGCCTGCCTGCGCAGCCCTCCATGCACTGGGCAGCATATAATACGTGACACCCCCATGCCCCTAATATATTGGGCCAACCCACACGAATACTGGACACACAAAGAAACCTCGGGTAATTTGCCGTAATCAAGCGTCCAGCAAAGATGATCGGGCGACCTTCGCTGAGGAGACTATCGCTGTCGTGTCAAACATACACATCTTAGGATCAATACAAACTTTATTCTCTGATACACGGGCATACGCACATCACCACCACCCCATTCATTAAACTAGCACATGCCAAGTGTATACCCCTTATGGGCACCTCGCAAAATGGCAGCGACCCTCTGGTCCCGACCGTGTCCGTGACCGTGACCACGTCGCTAAGTGACCCATTGTGGCCAGGCGGACATGGTTTGACTAGATGCATTCAAACCTTTTCTAAACTGTCAAATCTAAAAAAATTCATGAACTCGATCGTACCCAAAATCATATCATTGTTCCTACAGATCGATGCATTATTCAAATGGGAAATAATTACACATTAGTATAATAAATATACAGAATTGCCATTTTTATGAATCTACAACACACACGTGTCTGTGGTTATCATGCGTTACTATTTCCCACATAACTGCATGCACATTGCGCAAACAGCATGTAACAGGATTTTAAACTATTTTTACAATGTTAACTTTTTTTTAAATTTCATGATTATAAAATGTTTCTAAATTATCCGAAACCTTGATGCATCAAACGAATAACTGGCAAACACTCTTAGACACTTCAGCACATTTCCTGACTCCATACTATTCGTGTACGATGCGGAATCTATGACATAGGACGTAGGGATTAAAAAATAACAGTCGGTAGCCACGCTAGCAGCCTAACGTACAGTACACGTACAATTAGCACCATTCCCCCCTTATCTACATCGAGAATCCATCATGCATTCTTTACACATTTTACCGAAATGGATGCCAAACAGTGAATGGAAACGCCTGTCAAAGTCACGTCTGCAACGTCTGTCACCGCACACAACTGCAAAACGTGACTACAGCATGCATGTCATTGGCCTCAGCTTGTATCTTGCCACCACATGATGGCAGACTGTCTGACTCTCCCCCCGGTTTATGCATTTCACAAGATGTCTGCTCTGTAAATATCTGGTCGTGTATCTAAATACCCATGGTTATATAGGGAAAGTCGCTGCCATACACGGGCAAAACCTGACACATTATTTTACGAAGCTACTTATGCTGCGGGTATGGCTATACTCGTTTATCCAGCGAGACAAATTTTAGACCCCACGCCAAGAGGTGAGCAAAGCCGATTTCCCGTTCAGAGGGGTTCGTGTCTGTACATCAATATGGGAGGAAAATATGGCGTCACCTCCATCTACCGAGTCTTTGTTGCATGACAGATTTATAAAAAAAACGTGACACTGCCACGGCAATTCCACGTTTTCGCGGTGCGTTCGCGGTAGCAAAACCAAACACGACGGGACGATTGAATGAACTTATCGTCACTCAGCGAAGCATGCATGAACGTGCACAAGAAAAATAACCTACTTCATGTTAGAATACCGGCACGGAATGCTGTACCGTACATACAGTGAAGGAGTAGCCATATTTTCTCCTCTTACCATAGCCTTTCTAACGAGATCGGTGTAGCTGATTTCGGGACAGCTTTCCAGCGTCGACTCGCCGATGGTCAAATTGAATCGTAGCGTTGGGCGCACTTTTTTCTCCTTTTTACGCGAAGGAGATTGTGGTACGGTCTGCAAATCGATTCTCCGTGGTGGCTCCATGGTCTACGAGACTAACAGACACTCATCACACGCAATAGTAGATGGTAATCGCACATTTATGACAGATATTGCACATTCACAAGTTCTTGTTTACCCGCCATTGCATTCTTATTGTGCGCAAGCGCATTGGGCGAACATTTCTAAGGAGTCTGCAAAATGACGCGCTTCATTTGCAAAAGATCGGAAATCACAACGAATAATAAATAAATACGTGTAATACTATGTTCAAGCTCATTATAGCTATGCTTTATTTTTGAGATTCTTTCAAGATACGACTATTTCAACCATATCACAACATAATATTGCTTTAATTCAATTCTAGCCAGATTTTCTCTATGAGCCGAACTCAACCACCGTAGATTATGCGCGTTATTCAAGCACGTTCTACAAAATGTTCTACACTGTTCATAAATGTTTAGTAGCTGCTAGACTAATAATAATTGTCTGGTAGTTGCTGAATGTCTAGTAGATATGGTGTAACAAATTTTACTTGGTGGCTTAATTAATCTTTTTTATGAACATCATACGAATATAGAATTAAAGCAGCAATGAAAGCAGTGCTGCCAACCCTCGGACTTCCAACATCTGGAGATTTTTTTTCACTTGAGCCTGAGGCTGAGAGACTTCATAAAAAAGCAAAAAAACATATAAAATTAAAAACACTAACCATCCTATATACAGGATATCCATCGATAGGGTATTGAAAGGGTTAAAAAAACAATGTGTATATGTGTAAAACGGGAATGTCCGTGCACGGAATGAACATTGAATTTGAACGAGTTGACGAAATGTTTATAATAAAAAATGTTTTTAGGACAATGAGAGAATCGCTTACGTATTCTATGAGGAAAAGACTGACATTATTCAGTTGAGGTGGTTCTGATAAATTCGTGAGAAGACTGGTGAAAATCTAGAGATTCTCGGCTCTAATTTGGTGACCTGGAGATGAAGCCCAAAATCTAGAGGGTTGGCAACTATGTGAAGGCCAAACAGAGCATTACCATTAGCCATTCTGCGATAAATTTATTATAATGAGACTTTGCAAGGGATTCCCAACTAGTGAACAGATGACGTTTATGGTGGGATGTAAGATCAAGAAATTGAAGAAGTAGGTATATATACAATGCATGCGAACTCAGTTGAAAGTGAGTAAAATGAATAATTCTGTACAAGAAAGGGTCAATATTGTATATTATGAAATATATGTTACAAAAAACCCCCAAAACAAGAAAACAGTTATTTCTAGTACTTTTGTTTTATTATATTAAACAAAAGAAATAATGAAATGTGCATGTTATTACAGTTAATTCACCACATGCATGCATGCATGAATGAATGCAACTTATGAATGAATAAGGCATGCATGAAAGGAAATGTTGTTTTCTGTAGGAACAAAACAATTACAATATATCTTTTGCATCCTTATGTGGAAATGTGGAAAATCAGCATACACATTACACTTCAGTACATTGATAAACTTTGTAAAACATAACATCCTAATTCTGTATGCATTCACGATTTAAAGTACAATTGAGAGCTGAGCTATATATCACTGGTCATGAGCATGCAATCGTCCGTGGACTCCTTCAACTATTGGAACCATAATTCCCATAAAGTCGACCTCAAACACGTCCTCAGAGAATCGCATAGAGGACCTGCGTGCATTTTCCCGCACTGCAAATCTCTCCCCTGGGCTGAGAGCGAAGATTGTCTTCATGGCATCCGCAAATGAGGCTTCGGAGTCAGCAAGGAATCCCGTGCGTTTCCCATCATGCTCCACTACAATATCTAGTTTGGGACCGCCAGAGTCATGTGCTAGTACGATGGTGCCTGCCGCCATGTACTCTACCACCCCTAGAAATCACCAAAACGGGGAATGACAATTTGACAGACAAAAATCAACTGCAAACCTTTGTTGTTATAGTTAAAACTTGTGAGGCCCTGACCAAGATTTCTGTCTATAAACTTGGTTTATTAAGGCATCCACACTCAGAATTTACTTACATTTTTGTCCGGTTGCAATAACCAACATGTACATATCACTTTGCATGCAGGATTTGACAAGTAACTTTCATGTTTAATGTCAATAGAAGAAGAGGAATATCTAGTTATATAGCAAGCATGATGGGCGCAGATCTATCTAGGGAGTCGGGGGGAATGCTTGTCACAATGTTTAAAAACTGAATATTGATAGTTATTTGTTGGTTCCGTTCGATATTAGCAATCGGAATAATTTTGTATTTCATGCTAAAAAATCTCGAATGAAAATTCATTGGAGAATTTTTGTAGTAATGTCCAACAAATATCCTTAGCAATAAAAGAACGTTTCTAAGCATGCTGCAGAGGTGAGCATGCACCCCAGCCATACCTACCAATACCAAAGTGTTCGTTCCACATAGTGTGCAGGCCGATGGTGGCACTGCCTAGCTCACGCTTCAGCTCTACATATGGGATGTTTATTTTGAAGTCGACGAGGTCATCGACGCGATGCTCCGTGCACAGCTGTCTCAGCTGCTCCACCCGCGCCTCATCCTCAGCATTTCTACAGCTTCCCACCAGCACCAGGCGGTACCGATCCTGCTCCTGTTTCCCAACACCGCCGACGAACCTCGCAAAGCTTCGAATCTGCAGCGGATGATCCTTTTCAGGACGAAACTGCGCGACTGATATAATCGTGCGCGGTGCATCGTCGTCATCGGCCACCAGGGGACGCTCGCTGAACTCAGCGGTGCTGCATGGCGGAAACACGACGTGCATGCGGTCCTTGACGCCCCACAGCTGACGGATGTGGCCACCAGTCCAGCTGGAGTTACACATCACACAATCGCTCTGTCGCCCTACGACGCCATACAGCCACGCAAACACGTGATAATAGGCGAGCTTCGCGTGGCTGAGAGCGCCACTGTCGGTGATGAAGCTTGCGTTGTTGTGAGCGGGGCGGCGGTCAGCGACACGTGCTAGCATGTCAGTGCTGATTGTTGGGTAGTGGACGTAGCACGCGACCCTGCTGCCACCGAGGTACCGGAACATGGGCAGGGTGAAGGCGTAACCCATCGTGTCAATGTAGATATCAGGCGTTAGCTTCGTCATGGCTTCCCATGCCAGCCACATCGAGCCAACACTCTGACCTGCAGCAGAGACAATGAGTATGCTGGTGATGAGCTGATATTTTAAACTAAGGATGTTCATGCATATGCTCTGACCTACAGTAGACTGTTCACGTTCTCTGACCGTTCTCCTGTAGCATCTCAATTACCAAGAGCTAACCTGTAACTAGCATATTATTATGGAATGTGCATTCAGCATACCCTACAAAACTGGTGATGCAACTACTATTGCACTGTGATACCACTGATACTGTAGCAATGTGATATTACTGGTACTGCAGCAATGTGATATTACTGGTACTGCATATGATCAGAAGTAGATAATAGGGAAGGAGTGTGACCTCAATAAACAAGGGAAATTCGTCATTTACTAGCCTTAGAATACCTACGATTTACTACGCGTAACTCAACCAACTTGAGCTCAAATCACAGTACATTCGCCTAGCATCATGCGAAATCGTTTCCTCGTATACACCCGCAATCCGGAGATACAGACTAAAACGTACGACACGATTCTTCATTCTGTTGCCAGCAAACCGAATGTATAACCCGCCTAACTTGAAACAAAAGGCAGCTACTAACGACTCTTGCACACTCTTGTGCCCTCGGCGATGCGGTGTGGCTCGCTGGGAGATTGGACATCGACGCAACACTCGGCGAGCTAATCTTTGACCTATTTACAGCTGGTATGCCCCCCACGCACGCACGCCCACCGCAATCAGCATCAGCTCCAGCTCCAATCTCCCAGCAAGCCACACCGCATCGCCGAGGGCACAAGAGTGCGCAAGAGTTGTTAGTAGCTGCCTTTTGTTTCAAGTTAGGCGGGTTATACATTCGGTTTGCTGGCAACAGAATGGAGAATCGCGTCGTACGTTTTAGTCTGTATCTCCGGATTGCGGGTGTATACAAGGAAACGATTTCGCACGATGCTAGGCGAATGTACTGTATACGATTTGAGGTCAAGTTGGTTGAGTTACGCATAGTAAATCGTAGGTATTCTAAGGATAGTAAATAACGAATTTCCCTTGTTTATTGAAGTCACACTCCTTCCATATTATCTACTTCTGATATGATATTACCAATACTGTAGCAATATGATATTACCAATACTGTAGAATGGTAGTGTGTTGTCTCAACTACCAAGAAGTCATTGCATTATTATTATGGGACGTACATGCACACAAACTCTAGGATAAACACACGTGTACATAAGTTAAATATATTACAGAAAAGTTGAAAGAATTATTGACCTTTGTTACAGTTAGACGTACATGTGTCTTTATATAGCACCATGCAATATTACCTAGAAGTGTGAAACGGGGCCATTTGGAAGCCTCTACCCAGGGTCTTCTGGTTAGGAACACAAATTCCACGGTGCACGGCAAAGTGATGCCAAAGCAGTCTTTTGCCTTCTGTACTATGCTCGTCGCAGTTGCACCAGTGTCACCCGTATACACGACACAGTGCACATGCTTATACCTGCAAACACATTACAGTTCAGATTTTATATCTGCAACTAATCACAGGCGATTACACTCTACCATTTACAATTATTAATCACAGGATGAATTTGCTGATTAGTAATGACACATGATGATCACTCTAACAAAAATTTGGCATAGCAGGTTGTAATTGTAAATTCGTATGCCTCCATTACTTGATGATTTGCAATGACACATGGTAACTCACACATGAGCACTCTAATAAAGAATTTGGCACATGGTACTATTGGTAGGAAGATCCTTAAAATAATTTGTGAATTCATATACCTTCGCTATTCTTAGCAACTCGTCATTTGAATGTACTAATTTTATTATGAAACTGAATATGTGGTTTGATTATTAAATACATGGAAGACTTCCCCATGCTATGCCTGATTTCAATTACTTGCAAACACATATTCAATACTACTTTCAGTATATTAAGTTTCAGTTTGAACAAACCAGGATTGTATAAAGAAATTTTGCAGTCACCTGATTTTAAGTCGAAATCAGATTTTTTTTTACAATGTATATATATGCCTAGTTTTTTCAATGTTAAATTGATGTGAAAATATATACTAATAATCTGATGTTGGGAGAACGGACTGCTATGCATACCTGAGCTGTAGAGCTCTAATGGCACACCAGAGAACTCTTTCCCCTCCTCCACCTGCATTACAGTAGGGATGGAAAAAGCCCACCACTACAGCCTTCCCTTCCCTACTGTTATCTGAAATATCATGCAATATATGACAGAAAATTACAGCAGTTTTAAAAACATTGAATGTATCGATCGAGATAACTATAACAAATCTGTGGTTACCATATAAAATAGATTTAGATTCATTTATATTTAAATGCAGGGGCGGATCCAGGGCTGAAGCTAGACAGTATTTTTCCAGATTTTAAGGGCTCACCACCCCACAGTGGGTGCCGTTAGGCGCGGAAGCACATGGCGGGGGGTCTGGGGGGCCTCCCCCAAGAAATGTCAAAATTTCAAGGGTCCCTGGGCACAAAAATTAGCACCATTTGAGCACACATTTAGTCAAGCAGCAATAGCTAAAAACCATAATTATGGAATTTTATTTCTGCTTTGTTTTGCCTGCGCTTTGCATACCAGCAATTAATGCAGAATGATTGAAGCACTTCCCTTCTTTTTCAGATATCAAAGCTAGTTTTGTTACCATGTAAAATTTTGATTTCCTTTAAAGTCCTGTCAATGAATCAAAAGAAAAAGAAAACAAATAAAGAATATTGCCAAATTCCATCAAATTGTTTTCTGTATTTTTTAGCGCAAAATTTCGGAGGGCACTTTGAAATCTAGACCGTATTTTCCAATACGGCAAATACGGTCTGAATCCGCCCCTGAAATGATAGAAGGCAAAAGCATCTATGAAAACTTTGATTTATCGGAAGTGATACAGTTCTCTCCATAAAAAAGTCCATGTATAATCTATGTCTATTTTGTCAAACACTCACTGTCATGAATTCCATGCAGTTTGGCCCGTCCAATAAACCATAAATATATCCTAAGAATGAGCACAACACATATAGGGAGCAGAAAGAATAGTCCTGTCACAGCACCTAGCAAGTACAGCATCTTCGCAGCATTTGTCCTGCAACAAAATATACCCGTGACTATATAATTTCATGTATAATCTACACATAACTAGAGATATGTTCCCATACAGCTAAACTTTAGGACAGTTTTTTACGTTGGAATTTTCAAGTTTTGATAGTATAATCTTGATTGAATAAGTCACTATGTAGATCTCGCTATATCTAGTTCTACTGCGAATGGTGGTACAATAGTATGATTTTACTTGTTATTCCAATTTGACTCGGATTTATTTCATTCTGTATACAGGTAATAAGACAAAAAATTAGTTATACAGTAAAATTCGCATAAGTCGTCACCGTCTAACTCGTAAATTCGCATAAGTCGTCATGGAAGTCAAAGTCCTGATTTTCTCTCGTATTAAATCCATTGGAATAGCCCCTCCTAAGTCGTCATTATGTACAAGTTGACGCCCTCAGACAGGTCCCATGTAATACAAATAACAGTAATTTCCCATCTGTAAGTCGTCATCAGAAATGCCAATGGAGCGCGCGCGCACTGTACGCTCAAGGGGCTGTCGCAGCTCGCATTTTTCAGCTCGCACATCCCCCAGATTCCCCAGTGTATGCAGCCCAATGCAGGGTGCGAAGTTAACGCGAGCCCGGAGTCAAATGCTCCATGATTTACTGCCGGACTCCTTGATTTGACATAATAATGCAGGAGTCCACGTGACTCCCTGAAAATTCTGCTATGCTAACTAGTTCGCTCCAGAGCACAGCATTGCGGAATTACCGTATTTTTTCAGCAAGTGTTCCATGAAAATTTGGCAGGCGTGCACCGCAAATGTCCTGCAATGTCCAAACGTGTAATCAACAGCGGGTGTTACAGATAGCCAGCGTGTGCCGCGTTTGCTGCTATTACGTACGCTGAACGTGCATTATGGCCACCAGTGGTGTCGATCGATGTACAGACCCAATTGTTTCATGTCTGCTATGTATGTGCCCAAGAGCAGATAATACACAAGAGTGCGGCACGAGTTCGGCATTTTTAACCGATTTTTCTCATCAAAATTTGCCACCAATAAAGAAGGAAGTGTATACGTTCCTCAGCTTATTATGACCACTAATCACTCACCTTCATGGCACTGATATTTGTTAACATATATTTGCTAGCGTATTGCTGTAAATCGTAATCTTGCACGACCTGAATTCGATAAATTTACCGAAAAAATGGCGACTTGTTGCGAGGTATTTAGACAGAATTAGAAGCTATCGCTGCGCCAATATTTAGCAACGGACAGTTTCCAAATCATGCGTGCCCCGATAGGGTTGAGAGAATCTAAATTTCGAATTTTGATCTCGTGAGGAACCGCAGCCAAGCGCACGGCAATGTGTACGTGTGGTGATCGTGTTTGTGGCCACCTAACAACGGTTGCTATGCCTCCCCCCATACACACAACGTCTCGTAACACATACCAGACACAGCTACTTAGTACTTATTAAAAAAAAACATTTTAGTTTTGAACGTGATTTTATTCTTAGCACTGTCTTACATAAGTAATAATAATAATAGCAATATAATATTATATTTTATACAATATAATATTTTATTCTTAGCACTATCTTACATAAGTAATAATAATAATAGCAATATAATAATATTATATTTTATACAATATAATATTTTATTCTTAGCACTATCTTACATAAGTAATAATAATAATAGCAATATTCTCTGTAGTAGTTTGCAGTAAGTATCACATTACGCGCGCGCAGGTAATCAAGTACGTTAAACCCCTATCGGGGCACGCATGATTTGGAAACCGTCCGTTGCTAAATATTGGCGCAGCGATAGCTTCTAATATTGTCTAAACACGTCCAACAAGTCGCCATTTTTTCGGTAAATTTATCGAATTCAGCTCGTGCAAGAATACGATTTACAGAGCAATACGCTAGCAAATATAGTTAACAAATATCAGTTCATGAAGGTGAGTGATTAGTGGTCATAATAAGCCTGAGGAACGTATACACTTCCTTCTTTATTGGTGGCAAATTTTGATGAGAAAAATCGGTTACAAATGCGGGAATCGGGTGCCGCACTCTTGTGTATTATCTGCTCTTGATGTGCCGCAAACCTACGCCGTGTGTGGAGTATGTTTATGACTGCGTAGGGGTGACGGGCGCCTGGGAGGGGAGCCCTACTTATAACTTATAAGTGGACAAAATGACGACTTACGCGTATGTCGTCATTTTCGTAAGTTGGCACAAATATGCTGGTCCCAAAAGTGTCAACTTATGTGAGTTTTACTGTAATACTAATAGTAAATAAACGTGGTGTCCATCCAAATTATGTTTAGTTAATAATTAGTATGTTGTTTACATCAAATTTTGCATACAATTTTTGGTGTACACAATAGTCAAGAACATTACAAGCACAAACTAAAATTCAAAAAATCGTATAACTGATACAAGCTGAAATTTAGGCCCCCCTCTGCTGCAAAGCTAGCTCTAATAGCTGCGGCAACCGTACGCGGGCTATATTAGTTACTAGAGCTACTGCAAAGCAGGAAGGACAGCTAGCACTACTACTAGTAGTACTAGTACAGTATTAGTACTAGTAGTAGTGCTCATAAGGTCTATGTCCCCCAGGCCCCAGGGTACTGCCGGAACTAGCTCTAATACTATAGCCCGCGTTCATTAACTTCCGCAGGGCTATAGAACATTTTCAGCTTGATTTCGTAACTGCAACCTCTCACCACCTGTCCACACAAAAAATGGATCGCAAAACGCAAAATCATCGAGCTGTTTAACACTTATTTATCTACATGGACATCTCACCTATCTTTTTGAACACTTTACACAACTTTACACCATGTATTTATCCTTTTATTCTACAAAGTAAGCACTACTGGCATTTCATTTTGAAACGAAGTGGCGAGCGCCTGCGTGACGTCACCAGTATTGGCCATAGCTGCCATGTGTTTTGCGTACATATGCGGTAACGTCACACGTGCGCACACCACTTAGTTTCGAAATGAAATGCCAGTAGTGCTTACTTTGTGGAATAAAAGGATAAATACATGGTGTAAAGTTGTGTAAAGTGTTCAAAAAGATAGGTGAAATGTCCATGTTGATAAATAAGTGGTAAAGTGTTAAAAAGCCCGATAATTTTGCGTTTTGCGATCCATTTTTCGTGGGGACAGGTGGTAACAGGTTGCAGTTACGAAATCTAGCTGAAAATGTTCTATAGCCCTGCGGCAGTTAATGAACGCGGGCTATAGTACTAGAGCTATGCCGGAACGTACCCTGGTAACTATCTGATGATAATGTGATATGGTTAGGCGTTAGGGTTAGGGAGTAGGCGTTGCCGTAGGCGACTCGGACTCCCTAGACTCGTTAGTGGAGTAGGTAAGGGTTAATGGAGTAGTGGAGTAGGGTAGGAGGTAGGGTAGTACTAGTCACACGCACTTGAAGCGTTTCAATAAAATATAATGGAATGCTAAATAAATACGAAATCTACTACCAAAGTCAATGACACGTTGGGCGAATGTTGACATCGGCTTTCGCGTGTACACAAAATCAAGCTTGGCCAATCACGAGCGGGTACACATTATTTTTATCGCCATCTATCCGTGGACAATATCATCATCGCATTTTGCAGTCTTTTATAATCTAATCGTTTTAGCTGTTTAAGAAACAATATATCTTATGTTTGATTACTTATTTGGCTCAAGAATAGAGAGCATTGTAAATTGTATTATTTTAAGTGACAAAGGCAAGTATATTAAAAAAATATTGTTGGTGCGCAGAATTCAGCAAAATCGTCGGCGTCGGACTTCCCACATACACAGAGATGGCGCCACGGCACTGTTGTTGATTTCTTTGGATCTTTGCTGCAGGTTCCTGTGTTTGTGTTACATTATTGTATCTAGTTGTCTGCTAGTACTGTAGTAGTAAACTTACTGCAAGTTTTTAAACTTGTGAGTTGTGTACAGCTGAAGCAATCTGATCTACGCAATGATAAAACCATAAATGATAAAACTTAAAAGGTAAAACAGCTGTAGACCTACAACAAGTGAGTGTAAAGAGTACTGCAGTACAGGTACCGAGGTAGGTCATACACTCTACAGTCTACATAGCTCCAGTACAGCACTTGACTTGGTGATTAGATTTGAATTGCAACTCAACTATAAGTATAAGGATAAATAATGAATTTACCCCAACAGGCGACACAGGACTGGCAGGAGTAGGGTTTACGGTATTGTCTTTTCTCTTGTGTTGGGTTACTGATACTGTTTTACTGTTGAGTGTTGTTAGTGTGTGACAGTGTGTCATGTTTGCCATATTGCGTCAGTGTGTGTCATTCTCAAGGCCATACGATATCACATACATCATTGATATCATAGGCTTTGACCACAGGAATCAGGCCATAAATAATCACATTTTATTTAGGAAGTGACTATTCGCACTTATAAGTGTGGCCAGTGCTGAATTTTTTCCTTGGCCACACTTATTTTGATTACGTGCAGATAATGCTGAATTTTTCCCTTGGCCACACTTATAAGTGTGGCCAGTGCTGAATTTTTCCCTTGGCCACACTTATTTTGATTACGTGCGGATAATGCTGAATTTTTCCCTTGTCCACAGTTATTTTGATCATGCAATGCGCATGCGTTGCGTATGTCGTTATACACCATAGATTAATTTTTGTACTATGACACGCGTACATATAAGAAAGCCGAGTCGGTTTATAGTTAGTGTTAGGGTTAGTGTTAGGGTTAGGGTTAGGGTAGACCGAATAATTCTGTCCCATATAATCTTTTTATATTTTGGTGAGGGTTATTGGTGTATTATTTTCCCCTTGGCCATACTTATTTTGATTACGTGCGGATAATGCTGAATTTTCACCCATGAAAACGATTTCACCATGTTCACGATTTGGCGGGAACTGGTCACAATCATGGCGGACGGAGGTGGAGCTGGAGTGGGACTCGCCGTAGGGCAAAAATAAATGTGGGTAATGGAGCTATGTGCATCTTGCCCACACTTATAAGTGCCACTCGCCGTGCCAGTTGATTCCATTCCGGTATTTAGAAAGTACCACTTAAAATAAGTTTGGGCAAGGGAATTTTTTTAGCTTTGGACGCACTTAAAATAAGTGTGGGCAATGGAGCTATGTGCATCTTGGACACACTTATAAGTGCGGCTATAGCGAAATTCGATCAATTTTTGTGTTTGGACACACTTAAATAAGTGCCAATAACATCGGCCTTTTATTTATTACCAAACTCTTAATTTGTGTACTACGTATTACTGTACAATTCCACGTACATGCCGTTCAAATGCTCATCTCCGTGAAATTGTGTGGTGCAGAGGAGAATTTGTGCTACATTCACACAATACACTGGCACACTGCTGCCAATAATAGCCCATTTCACTCCGATACGATGTACATCGGAACATGCTGATCTATCCCCGAATGAGAAGTCACATTAGCCAATCAAAAACTGGTAGGAACGTGCAATTTCAATATGGCGGCGCCCATGAATAAATTTATCTAAATTCAAAACTAGAGGATTTTAAGTGATACTATGTACCCATTCTTTTGTTAGCTCATCTGACATAGTCAGATGCAGCTTGTAGAATCGCATGATCGTCCGTCTATCCGTCCGTGCGAGCGTCCGTCCGTCCGTCAACAGTTGGGCACAAATCTTAACCGCTCGACGTACGGTCACGATATTCGGGACGTGAGGGGTAATCCGAAAACGAGTTGGGATGTCGAAGCTGGAAGTCAAAGGTCAAAGGTCAAGAGGTGTAAAAGAAGGGGGAACATTCACTCCTTAACTTAAGGTATAGGGAGGAAATGCAGAATTGTGGCACAAATCGAAACGGCTCGACCTAGGCTTGTGATAGTCGGTGTATAGCATCATGGTAGGAAAAGCCATCACTGTGCCGAAATTGGAGGTCACAGGTTAAAGGTCAATGGGCACAGGGCAGATTTTAGACATTTTCTGAGGACATGGTCTGACGGAGCAATTGAAAAACTTTTTTGTTTCAGCGGTGACCTAGCATTTTTATGGCTTTATTGAAAGGACCATGAAATGTACCTTCTGCTGACATGCGAAGAGTAAGTGTCGGATAATCTTTTGACCCTCAAGAGGAGGGTTAAACATGGATTTGTTTACTGTCTGTTAGAAAGAATTTGA